ATAGTGTGTGTGCGTGAGCGCGTTCGACGTGTAGGTGTGCGTGTGTTGCTGAGTGGTGCGTGGTGCGTGTTTATGGTGTGTAGTGTCTGTAGCGATACCTTAATAATAATAATAATAATAATAATAATAAACATGCTCTTACATGAGGCTAAAGAAATCAAAGCCAAATACTTGGTCTCATCAGCCCACCAGCCAATCCTCAACAAAGCAGAGACTGAAGGCCAATATGAAAGCAGAGAAGATCGAGGTATTGAAGAACAAGCCTTTGCATGAAAGATTCTACAAGAGCTTCGACAGGCCATTTGTCGACAAGATTGCAAGCGTTGCCTGACTCAGGCAGCCTTCCCTGCCTCAAGGGGGAGACGGAAAGCCTGATCATTGCGGCCCAAGACCAAGCACTCAAAACTAGATACCATCAACGCAACTTCCTCAAGCAACAGGTCAACATCAACTGCAGAATGTGTAGCAAGGCAAAGGAGACTATCAGCCACATCATCGTTGGATGCACAGTGCTGGCCCCAACCGAGTACATAAACCGCCATAACAGGGTAGCCAGCTATCTGCACTGCTCAATCTGCAGTGACCTTGGTGAGCCTCACAAGTGGTATGAACATGCTCCGAGACCAATTACCAATATCGTAGATACTACCATAATGTGGGATATGGCAGTGCAGACAGATCGCACGATACCTGCAAACCGCCCTGCTATGGTGCTCCACAACAAGAAAGAAGAACGATGCCTGCTGATTAACGTGGCCGTACTAGATGATACTAATATCATGGTGAAGGAAAGAGACAAATTCACCAAGTACAAAGATCTGGAGATCGAAATTAGCAGGATGTAGAATACTAAGACGAGAATTGTGCCAGTGGTGGTTGGAGCCCTTAGCTCTATAAAGAATGGTTTTGCGAAGACCCTCAAGAAACTTCCTGGCCACCACACTGCCCAAGAAGTCCAGAATATCGCGCTACTGGGAACAGCACACATCCTGTGAACAATTCTGGATTGAATCCATATGTCCCAGGTTGGGACATGGCCAACCCAGAAGCCACCGGCTAATGCCATGATCCACTTTGGAAATAATAATAATAATAATAATAATAATAATAATAATAATAGGGTGAGGATTCACCGATACATTGGTGAATTGCGCTCGATACAGCGGCCCGCAATATGATAATCGATATGCAGAATTCCTATCGCGATACAAACGATACAGATGTTAAACAGTGAATGAGGCAAGCTAAACTATTTAGTAAAGCACATGTAATTATTTTTCAATTTAATTCTTTCTTCTATTTTAAGAACTTCCTCTCAGCATCACGTAAATATTTTTGGCTGTCGTAGAAAGCTGGGTTAATATAAATGGTGCGCTTAATTGAATTCATACAAATATAGCTCCTTGCTTATATTAGCTGAGAACAATATATAATACATAATATAATATAATATATATAATACATGTATAACAATGTATATATTGTTCTCAGCTTGCTTAGCAGTAAGTTAACTCATTTCGCCATCTGTCGGTAAGCACATAAAGCAAATAAACATACGGTGGCCTAGTCGGGGCATTCACGTAACGTGTGTTGTATATATCTATGACGTAACAAATGAGTTCCTCTTCCCACCATCAATGATCAAGTCAATTCGCACCATCTAACACCGTTCCGTTAGAGCATAGTTAGTAGAGGGAGACTACTAGTGTAATAGTACTAGGAGTCTCCCTCTACTAACTATGGTTAGAGCTGGTAATCGTGCCTTTGACTCAGACTGCGTATGTAAATCTACAGATTAGTACTGTGTCTGTGTGTGTTTACAGTCCTGCGCACAGAGGCGCAGACATCTGAATTCAACAATGCGGCTCCGATTTTCGTCGCGTTACGCGCGCATTTACCATTTTAATTTCTTAAAAATAATAACTAAGTCGCGAAGCCTGTACATTGAACCTCAACGCGATGTAATTTCCAATAGAGAAGAAGCAGGAAAAGATTGCATACAACGATTTAAACTAAACAGCGGCCGACAATAGCTTACAGCGGTAGCTGAGTGCGATGCGGAGGAGTTGCGATTGAACTCACTGAAACAAAATTTGTTTTAGTTTGGCCGTATTTCAACGCTCTACGGTAATCGTATGACTTCTTTGTAATCCTAAGAAAATGTTGTAGCGGTTTCCTACCTTTGCGAAGGCATGTCTAGCAGTATCCAGCAGTGCGGACACGTTGAAATTGCCCTTGAACACAGAATCACGTAATATTTCGCAACGGAATTCAATATGAAGGAGGGGCGCTTGTACATTGTACGAGATGATACGCGGGCACCACGTGAACATGCAAGGAGCTCCGTATACCATATATGGTATATGTAGCTCCTTGCACGTGAAGAATCGTTAGTTCCCGCTGTCTCCGCCAGGGTACAGGGAAGGCTGTCGTTGTCGTTGTCGATGTGGTGCGGGAGGACGGGGAGGATTTAAACTTGGAATTAAGTAATGTCAAGTGATATGCGTTTGAAACGATCATTTTCGCTGTTATGATTCTTGTTGATTGCGATGGTTCCATTAATTATCAACCAGCTGCTTTACCTTTACAGCGTAATGTGGCTTCGAAATGTCACGAAAATCACGACCTTTCTGGTGACACTGGAGGTGGTTGGTGCCGGAGTTTGTTTACGACCTTGGCGGTTCTGTTGTGACTTCGTAATTATGGAGCTAGCTAGCCTATAAGCATAGCTCTAGTACTACTACAGCTCATGTTGCCCCCGTGGCTTCACACGGGCTATAGTGCTAGAGCTAGTATATATAGGCCTAGCTACCATCGTACGTACGCGCCACGGGCACAACATTACCCCAAAAGGGAAATTGACTGGAGATCGGACCACTGTAGTCATAGCTCCTGTTAAAGTGCGGTCAAGCTGGCATGTTGCGGCTATTATTAATAGCCAACCTGTCAACATGCTGGTCGACAGTGGGTCCGGTGTGACCCTATTGGATACCGAAGTGTATCATGGAATTCCCAGCCGGGAAAGACCTAAACTGCGCAGCTCAGATGTACCCTTACACGTTGTAAGAAAACTAGCACGCAGTTCTGCTGATAAGAGTGAACGTATCTCCAATGATAAGTGATAACGTGAATCGAAGATATGAAATATTATGATAGAACCTACGGACGCAACCATGTACAACATGAGTTATAAAGGCAAAGCCGAGTGCAATAGCCTACACACGGGTGAAGGCATGTGACAGAACCTGTAAGGGCAAGGCCTTGTCACAAGACCTAGGTGCATGGGTAAAGCATCGTGACAGAACCAATACGGGTAAAAGTTTGTGACTGAAGGAATATGGGTAAAGGTACGTGACCGTACCTATAACAGTAAAGCTTTGTTACAGGTGCTTGCTCTAAAGCAGCGGTTCTTAACCTGGGGATCGTGACCCTCATGAGATCGTTTGGGTTTTTTTCGGGGGTCATGAAGGGGTCATAAATGAAACAAATCCATTTAAATATATAATTATCAGTGTTCTACCAAAATATCTTCTTCACTTCAGTGACTCATAAATTTGGTTGCCCACAAGCCTAATTAAAGCACTTGCCCGAATTTTTTTTTTGATCGCCTGATGGCTGTGAAGCAATTTCATGTTTGGCAGACATGTTTTAATAAATTGGGCTGATTTTTTTTAATTTTTTTTTCGGGGGTCACGGTACTGACCAAGAATGTCTGATGGGGTCGTGGGGCCGAAAAGGTTAAGAACCACTGCTCTAAAGGTAATGTAGGTACGTGTGACAGAATCTGTACAGGTAATTGTATACAGGAATATATAAAGGTAAAAAGGTTCTGTCAGTTATTTAGTTATAATTAGTTAATTATTGTTGTGTTGAGCTGTTTACCATGTATGTATGTATGTATGTATGTATGTATGTATGTATGTATGTATGTATGTATGTATGTATGTATGTATGCATGCATGCATGCATGCATGCATGCATGCATGCATGCATGTATGTATGTATGTATGTATGTATGTATGTATGTATGTATGTATGTATGTATGTATGTATGACGCAGGCTACAGGACACGGTGAGCCCAAGCTGTTAGCTGTTATTATGTGGCGTTAGCGTGGCAATTCGCTGTGAGTACCGAACTATCAGACATTTATGGTCGGTAAGCGTTGCTAAAGTGTGCTGGCCGTGTAGCTTCACCCGTTAGACTTTAGCTGTTATTAATAGCAGGTGAAGCTGGTGAGGTGGTCAGCGTCTCGTGTCTGTCTGTTGTCCATATACCTTTATCCGTTAGATCCTAGCTGTTATTTTCTAGCAGGTAGGGCTGTTAGAGGTGGTCAACATCACGTGAACTTTAGCAGTCGCAAGCCAGTATTCATGACTTTTAGGGAGAGAACGCGGTCAGGTTCGTGTTGGCTGTCACTGTACATGGCGAAGCAGTCAAGGTTAGCCGTTAATGTAGTCGGTTGCAGGCAAGGGAGCAAGTTGGCGTTTAAGATATAATTTTGTTTTAAATAACTTTGTTCTTTTTGTCAGGTGACGAGTGGTCGATTGCTAGGAGGCCCACGATTGGCCGGCTGCTACGAGGCCCTTGATTGTCCGGTTCTTATGAGGCCCCTGTGTGGTCAGCTGCTACGAGGCTCCTGATTGGCCAGTTGCTACGATGCCACTGATTGGTCAGCTGCTACGAGGCTCCTTATTGGCCGGTTGCTACGAGGCACCTGATTGGCCGGTTGCTACGATGCCCCTGATTGGTCGGCTGCTACGAGGCTCCCGATTGTCCGGTTTCTACGAAGCCCCTGATTGGTCGGCTGCTACGAGGCTTCTGATTGGCCGGTTGCTACGAGGCCCCTTATTGGTCGGTTACTAGGAGGCCCTTGATTCGCCAGCTGCTAGGAGGGCCCTGATTGGTTGGCTGCTACGAGGCTTCTGATTGGCCGGCTGCTACGAGGCTCCTGATTCGCCGGCTGCTACGAGGCTCCTGATTGGCCGGCTGCTTCGAGGCTCCTGATTGTATGATGGTATTGTAGCTGACGCTTAAAAACCTTATATACGAGCCCTCCAGCCAACAGACAGCGCCAATCCAAAGATGCTAACACCAACCAATTTACGCGTCTCATCGTCATCTCGACTGGTGCAATACGTGATGCTGTTGATGTTATTACTCGCTTAGGCCACAATTAAAAAATCTTTGTTTGCCCTCACCCGACCCAGGCTAAAACGTTTCGGTAGGTAGGTAAGTTTTTTTTTGGGGGGGGGGTTTACAAATTCAGCACGGTGTCTACATGCTCGGGTGTGCTTGTGAGAAGATACCTTTTATGTTGAATGTTTGTTTTGCTTGGTACATCTAATGTATACCGTCTCCTACACCGGGATTCCGGGTTCGAGTCCCAGATGGGAAACTTATTCTCCTCTTTTTTCCCCTTTACCTTATTATTATTTACTACTATTATTATTTATTATTATTTTCATGTTCTTTATATTATTTATATTATTTTTTATTGTTTGGGATTGGATGGGATGGGATGGGATGGGGTCGACTGCAATGGGATCGGATCGGATCCCATGGGGGGGATGATGCGATGGCATAGGATGGGATGGAATGGGAAGGGATAGAAGACGATGGGATGGGATGGGATGAGATGGCATCTATGGCATGGGGTGGCATGGGATAGGATGAGATGGGATGGGATGGCATGGGTGGCATGGGGTGGCATGGGATAGATGAGATGGGATGGGATGGCATGACATGGCATGGCATGGCATGGCATGGCATGGCATGACATGCGATGGATGGATGGATGGAGGGATGGCTGGCTGGATGGATGGATGGATGGATAGATACATAGATAGATAGATAGATAGATAGATAGATAGATAGATAGATAGATAGATAGATAGATAGATAGATAGATAGATAGTCTAGTTGCGGGCCGTATCCTTTCAATAGTGAACCTAGAAATGTTTAATAGTTCAAGGTTTTTTTATTGACATGTATTCAGATCCATGTTTGGAAGATTTTTAGCTTTGTTGGCACAGCGCCAACTTTGGGGAAATTTTTTGGGGTGCTAATTTGCATAATTAACGTGGCCAATTACAAGTTTTTAACTAATAGGCATAGAATCATGTGTGATAGCTCTTTTCTATATACGTTTGACCCAGCGAATCGCTTCTTATAGTTACTTTCGCGATTAATGGTCAGGATCAACCTATAAAGTCAAGGTCAATGTCCCTTTGGCTCAAAATTACTCTAATTTTACCTACAACTGTAACTGACTGAAAATGATGCGTTGCTGTGAAGGTGTATTGAGTCCCCGTATTGATTGTTGATGATAGTAATGATTATTATCATTGTTGATAAATTAAAATAATGCCTACCCATATGGGGTCAAGGTTACCATATGGGGTCAAAATACAACTTTTTAACTAATGGACCTAGAATCATGTGTGATAACACTTTTATACACAAGCTTGACTCAAGGAATCCATTTCTGATGTTATTTTCGCAGATAAAGGTCACGTTTAAACTATAAGGTCAAGGTCAGGATCACTTTGGTTCAAAATTGACAAAATTCGCTTAATTTCCGTAAACCAAAATTGCCACCGTAATGATCATTTTCAGGTACAATGTGATAGAATGTTATCATAGACCACAAGATGAGAGGCACGGTGTCGTAGTTTCGTACTACGGATAATCAATTAGATAAAGAACTCGTAGAGTATGTGATAAGTACGTTTACTCAGCAGAACCACACCTGTATCACTTCCCAACCAGTGCTGCCTGGGCTAGTGCAACTATAACATCCCCTTCTTTCTGAAGGTTAAAATTGAACTCTACTTTCGCGAATACAGTACTGTGTAAAAACAATGATATGGCTCTACAGAAAATGTTCATAAGTCTAATCTTTCAGGTGGCTTCGCTTTTCTGGCTGATCGACGAATTCGGGTAGCTGGAGGTAAAGTGCGTTCCTGCGATATGCTTTCAGCAGGCAGAGGATCAGGCGATGGGAGCACTGGTGCATGCTCTGATGCGATATCTGCCTGGCCGCTGCTGAAACTTTCAGTAGGCAGAGGATCAGGCGATGGGAGCACTGGTGCATGCTCTGATGCGATACCTGCCTGGCTGCTGCTGAAGCATTCTCCTGTAGGGCGCAATTGGCGACGATTCCGCCTGAATCTGCTTCCGTTTGTCGCCACAACATGGGAGCGATTATGTTTACTGGTTTTCACCACTCCAGGTTTCCAGTGATGGCTGTGGGGATCTAGTACACGTACAGAATCACCTGGGTGGAGCACAGATAGTGTCTTAGAGGGCTTGTCATACTGCAATTTCTGTTTCTCCTGCCTCTCTTGTAGCTTCGCGTTAGTGTCACCATCGACTAGGCACGGTGTGCATGCTGCTCGCGTTGCTGGAAGATTGGTCTGGTAGACTCTTGAGTTGAGCAGTTCTGCTGGCGAGTGAATGTTATCCTGTAATGGTGTGCTTCTTAGGCACAGCATAGCCATATGTGGGTCTGTGTTCGACTCCTTGCATTTCTGCAGCAGAGCTTTGACAGTTTGCACAGTCCTCTCTATGAAACCATTTGCCTGTGGGTAGTATGGACTTGTGGTAACATGGTCAAATCCGTAGGTCTCACTGAATTTCTGGAATAGAGCTGAGGTAAACTGTGTATCGTTACCTGTAACGAGCTTGCTCGGAATTCCATACTCCTCAAAGATCGACTTCATGTGAGCGATTGTTGTGTCAGAACGAATGTTGTTCAACTTTCTGACCAATGGGAACTTGCTATAATAGTCTGAGACCAGCAAGTAGGAGCTGTTGTTCCAGAAGAACAAATCGGATCCCAGTGTGTGCCATGGCCTTGGTGGAACATCATGTGGCATGAGGGGTTCCTTCATATTGGCCTTCTGGTTGTGCTGACATGGAGGGCAGTCCTTGACCATCTCCTCTATGTCCTTGCTAATATTGGCCCAAAATACGGATCCTTTGGCACGAAGTTTGCATTTCTCAGCACCTTGGTGTGCGTAGTGCAGTTGTTCTAGCACAGCAAGCTGTAATGCTGCAGGAATGACGATGCGTGTGCCTTTCAGAACTATTCCATCTGCAACAGTCAGTTCGTCACGATAGTTCCAATACGCATGAAGGTGTGTAGGACACTCTGATCTCTTACTATAGGCCATCCCTGTGTGATGAGGGATCTCAGAGGGTCCAACACGTCATCCTTGCTTGTTGCGTCCTTGATCTGCTCAATCCGTGTGGGGCTAGCATTCAAGTGTAGGTGCCGCTCGTGATCAGAAACATCTAGCCCTTGTACCGTGTCACCTGGGCATGGACTTATTCTCGATAAGGCGTCAGCTAGTGGAATATCCTTCCCAGGGACATACTTAATTTCAACGTCGTACTTCTGTACTCGGAGCATCATCCTGGAGATACGAGGTGGGGCGCTGGAGAGGTGTTTCTTGAATATCGCCTCCAGCAGCTTGTGATCTGTCTCTACAACAACGTGTCATCCTTACGCGTAGTAGTGGAATTTCTCAAGACCATGTACAATGGCTAGCATCTCTCTCTCAATGTTGGAGTATCGAGTCTCTGTATCAGACAGTAGCTTGCTTCTGTACTCGACTGGGACCTTGTCCTGAATCAGGGCTGCGCCAAGGCCGCGTTGCAAGGCGTCGACCTGGATAGTCACTGTTAAGTGTTGTAATACATGTCTGGAATAGCCTAGTCAGCCACTAGATGGCGACACACGTGGCAATAGATAGGTGTAACGTACACGTGTATACACGAGGCAGTTGGGCAGTGGACAGGGCACGGAGCACACGTTTGGGTACTCTACGTTTGTGTAGCTGAATAAATGCTTGTGTAAACGTTCTCCACTGGTTCTGGTTTTGGCTTTGACTTCCTGGCTGTGCAGCACGTAACATGGTGGCAGCGGTAAACTGAATGAACCATGCACATGATAGGACATCTGTGGAAAGCTGTGTTATAGCCTGGAGAAAGATTTACAAGTCAAATGGAGGCGCGCGTGGAGTTGGAAGCTTTTTAAGAAAAGATTGGACAACTACAACCTGTTATCTGGGCTGCACACGAAAGACCATGCGTTTCAGGTAGCAATGCTTGAGAACTGTCTCGCTGACGATGCGATGAAAACGCTCAGTGGGTTTAGCTTCTCAACGCCAGAGTCATAAAGAACTGTCACTGAAATTACAGGGAAATTTCAAGAATATGCCATAAGTGAGGTGAATGAAACCATGAAGAGATTTTTATTTCACCGGCGTGGTCAGCAGGAAGGGGATTCCTTCACTTTGATCACCTAAACTTTGATCACTTCCTAGCAGACCTCAGAACACTGGCACAAACCTGTTAGTTTTGCAGCGCGTGCGAGGCCTCTATGACAAGAGACAGAGTTGTGCTGGGAATAAGAGAAAATGAAACGAGAGAAGACTTGCTAAAGATAAGAAAACTTGACCTTGACAGGTGCATTGATGTGTGCAGGGCTGCACAGTCTGTTTCGTTGTGTGACAGAGGATTGAAGCCAGTTATGCCTGATACTGTGCACAAAATAAGGGCAAGATTTCCCGAGGTCAAGGATAAGCAGTACGTAACTTTGCAGAAAGAGCAGTGCAGATTTTGCAACTTCTCTCACGTCATGAAGAAAGAAAAGTGTCCAGCTTTTAGCAAGACGTGCCACATATGCGGTGAGAAGAATCACTTTAAGTCAAAATTCCCAGACAACATGAGACGCAGACAACAGAAACAGAGAGTATCGGCACCCTTCAGGACTGGTAGGGGCCGGGTGAATCAGCTAAAGGAAGAGTATTATGATGATGTATCTGCTAGTAACTCAGATTATGAGTGGTGCAATACAGTCACAGCTCAGGAGAAAAGGCTGTCTGTGCAAGCTGTCACATGTGTGTCCCCAACCAGTAGGATGACAAAGTGTCGGATGATGGTTGGCGGCTCAGAAGTCGATTTTCAGGTAGACACCGGGGCGTCTGTAAACATGCTGCCATCCAGATTTGCAGACAAGATAGAGCGATATAGAGGTGTACTAAATATGTGGAACAAGGCTGTCCACAAACCTGCGGGGACATGTCGAATGAAGGTGACTAACCCGAGGAACAACAGAAGATACTCAGTGCCCTTTGTTGTGTTTGAGGATGAGAGGCAACCTATTTTAGGTTACCAGACGAGTGTACAAATGAACCTCATACAAGTTCAACATGGCAACTTTGACGTGGTTGCTGCAATGTCCACAAAAGATGCATTCGCAGAGGTTTATGATAAGAAGCTGGGAGAATTGCCTAGTACCCAGCATCTTAATGTTCGTGCTGGTGCGATACCTGTGGCCAACAGGAGAGTCCCCATTGCGGTGCGACCGAAATTAAAGATGGAGCTGGAGAGGCTGAAGGAGTTAAATGTCATCAGCCCGGTTGAGGAGCCGACGCCGTGGGTCAGCCAGATGGTAGTTGCGCACAAGAAGTCTGGAGCCTTGAGGATATGCATTAATCCTCACGAGCTAAATAAGGCGCTCCTACGTGAGCACTATACGCTCCCCGTTCTCGACGATGCACTACATGAGTTGAGTGACTCAAGAGTATTCTCGAAGACGGATCTCGCCTCGGGATATTGGCATGTTAAGTTGGACCGTGAGTCGAGTTTACTCACAACATTTCAGACGTGCTTCGGAAGGTTCCGCTGGCTCCGGTTACCTTTCGGTTTGTGTGTGTCATCAGAAATTTTTCAGAGGAAGCTGCTGGAAGCCCTCAGCGATCTACCAGGGGTGCTCTGCATAGCTGATAATGTGGTAGTTCATGCAAGAACCATGCCGGAGCATGATGAGAGACTGGGAAATTTCTAGATAGGTGCAGGGAGGTAGGAATAAAGCTGAATTCTGACAAGATAGAAGTAGCAGTGAATACCTTGACCTTCATGGGCCACCGTATCTCGGCAGAAGGCCTGGGCATCGACGATGAGAAAATGTCTGCGATAAGAGATATGAAGGAACCAGGTGGGTTGGAGGAGCTATGTAGGTTTCTGGGGATAGTCAACTATTTGGCCAAGTTTGTCCCCATGGTCACCACATTATTCCATCCACTCCACAACCTGCTAAAGAAGAATCACTACACTTTCGGGCGAGAGGTAGAGGTCTGGACGGACCACAAACCGCTGGTGGCGATTTGCGCAAAGCCACTCTCGAAAGCCCCGAAAAGGCTACAGAATGTCATTCTGAGGGCACCGAAGTACTCATAATGTTTGAAATATAACGGGAAATGAGATACCGTTGGCAGACGCGCTGTCTAGAACGCCCACTTCACAACCAACCCAGGAGGTTGTGGATGTGCACAAAATCACGTGCCATCCGCTAAAGGATGAAGGGTTACTTCAGATCAGCGGTGCTACGTTGTCAGATGACACCCTTGTGGCCCTGGGGCAGGTCATCATGAAAGGATGGCCTAGCGAGGTAAGGGACTTGACAGAGAGTCTACGTCCGTACTTTAGCTACAGGGACAAGCTTACCGTTCAGGATGGAATCATCCTGCGAGGTGGACGAATAGTTGTCCAAGTCAGTCTAAGGAAAGAAATGAAGAAGGTGCATCAGGGGCATCTAGGAATAAACTCGTGTCTACGGAGAGCCAGAGACTTGATCTTCTGGCCGGGTATGTCGGCAGATATCCGATAATATGTGGAAGCATGCGGTACATGCGCGACATATTCAGTGAAACAACATGCAGAGTCACCAGTCATCACAGAGGTGCCTCGGAGACCTTGGCAAAAGGTGGCATCGGACTTGTTGTCGTGTGCAGGCTGTGATTACCTTGTCAGAGTGGACTACTATCATAGCAACTTTTTTGAGGTTGACCGGCTGCGTGAGACAACTGCTGAATCAGTGATTATGAAGCTTAAGGGGCACTTCTCGAGATATGGTATCCCTGACACGGTCGTCACGGACAGCAGCAAGGTTCCGGTCATTCGCACGCGACTGGAAGTTTCACCATGAGTTAATCAGCCCTGGCAACAGTCAGGCCAACGGGGCAGACGAGGCTGCTGTAAAGATTGTGAAGAGGCTCATGAGGAAGGGCAAGGCCTCTGGGGAAGACTCGTTCTTAGGTCTTCTAAATGCTAGAAACACACCAAAAGAGGGGATGTCAACCAGCCCAGCTCAAAGGCTGCTGGGGAGACGCACAAAAACTGTTATGCCCATTAGTGAAGCAAAGTTGAAGCCGGGGTATGCTGACCCGATAAGGGAGGCGCAGTCTAAAGAGAGAAAGCGCGAGAGAGCAGGCGTAACTGCAGGGAACTTGGCCGGCTCGCAGTTGATAACACTGTGAGGATGCAGCCGCTGCTTCCCGGGAAGAGAGAGTGGCAGGAGGCAAGATTGTCAAAGCAGCTGACAGGTCGCTTATTTGAGGTGACCACGGGACAAGGAAAGTGTTCCGAAGGAACAGACGCCACCTCAGGAAGTGTGACAAGTCAGCACACTTGCTGCCGCCTTAACCAAGCCGAGCCAAATTTCGCATTGCCACAGAGAGCGACAGCCCGCCACATGAGCCACGACAAGAGCTGCGACAAGCGACGTCGCTGGCGTTGCCCGCGCAATTGCCAATCGCACCCCCTTCCGACGTACCTCCGCCACCGTTAGCATCGGCGGTTGGCAAAACAAAGATGGCAACAGACGCCGATGTAAAGACAACCAGATCCGGCAGAACTGTTAAAATGCCTGTGAGGTTTAGGCAGTAGCATCAGTAGTATCGGATGATAGAGTGTCACATCTTATGTTAAGCGGTTTTATTTTATTCAGCTATGATCGGTCATTTTTGTAACACGTATCGGTGGCACAAGAAGGTATAATTTGATGTATTGATGATATTTGATATAAGTTATATTCTTATATTCTGGTGAAGCGATAACGTTAAGTCATACTACCTATGAGGACTGTGAAAATGGTTAGTTTTGTGTTCTGTTATTTTGATAATTTTGGGTTGTGTTATTTTGATGACTTAAGAAATAGTGTTGATTGGTGTTGAGTTTTTCCAAAAGGGGAAAGATGTTAAGTGTTGTAAACTTGTAATACATGTCTGGAATAGCCTAGTCAGCCACTAGGTGGCAACACACGTGGCAATAGATGGGTGTAACGTACGCGTGTATACACGAGGCAGTTGGGCAGTGGACAGGACATGGAGCACACGTTTGTGTACTCTACGTTTGAGTAGCTGAATAAAATGCTTGTGTAAACGTTCCCCACTGGTTCTGGTTTTGGCTATGACTTCGTGGCTGTGCAGCACGTAACAGTCACCGGGTTGGCATTGTCGAAATACTGTAGTGAATTAGACAATGAAATCATGCTTTTGATTCTGTCTACGGCAGACTGATGCTCTGGGCACCACTGGAATTCACTGGATTTCTTTGTCAAATCCCATAAGTTGGCTGCGCATTCCGCGAGGTTTGGTATGAACCTGCTCAGGAACTGCATCATGCCAAGGAAGGTCTGCAGGTCTGCAAGGCTTTTTGACGGGTCCATGATGTTAATTGCTTCGACTTTCTTAGGATCAGGCCGGAGTCCATTGGCGCTGATGATATTGCCAAAAGGGGTGATCTCTGTGCATCGAATTTTGCACTTATCAGCATTAAAACACAGACCTGTTTCAGTTGTGCGCTTTATGACGGCTCTTAGCTTGCTGTCATGGTCACTTATACTGTAGCCATACACGATGATATCGTCGGCAATCCCAGTAACACCTGGTAAATCCCCAAAGGTTTCGTCTACCTTCTTCTGGAAGATATCTTGCGCACAGATCAATCCGAAAGGTAACCTCAAAAAACGGAATCTGCCCTGTGGTGTATTGAATGTTGTGTACAGCGAGCTCTCATGGTCTAACTTAATATTCCAATACCCACTGCGAGCGTCCACTATAGAGAAGTACTTTGCTCCGCTGAGCTTGGGAAGAACTTCATCTATTGTTGGTGTACAGTGGTGAGGCCGCTTGATGGCAGAGTTCAGATCCTTTGGGTCTAAACACAGTCGAAGTGCACCGTTACTCTTAGTGACACATACTAGGGAGTTGACCCAGTCTGTGGGCTCATCCACTTTTACTATGATTCCCTGAGCTGTAAGGGAGTCCAGTTCTCTCTTTAGCGGCTCACGTAATGCCTCTGGAACTCGGCGTGGTGGATGTATCACTGGTGGCACTGTGGGGTCGAGGGTGACGTGAAATTCGCCTTTGAAACACCCGATGCCTTCGAAACAATCCTTGTGTTGACGCAGTAGTTCAGCTTTAGCAGCAGGATCACCTGTAGGCGCCTGTGTAGCTGTCGTGTCTTGTTGCGTAGTAATGCTGTAGTTCAGCGTAACTAGCTTCATATCCCGGCATGTAGGGAGACCCAAGATAGTTTGTTCATCAGCATTGACTACATGGAATGGGTATGCATTGGAGCATCCATTGTGAGCGAGGCTTAGCATACATGTACCGTAGTGCTGTATGGATTGACCTCCAAATGCAGTAATCTTAGTGTCAGATGGCGTTAATCCGATGAGTGTACCATTAGAGTCGCAGTGTTGGTCTGGACACAGCTGTTTGTACGTGCTAATCGGAATGACGTTTCCTTCTGCTCCCGTGTCAATTTTGCATATCAGCGGCATGTTGCATCCTCCACGGTCCACATGTACCTTGAGTACTGCCTGTGTATCGTAGACAGATCCTACACTGTCAATCTGCAGTGAGTGGGAGTACAGTTGAGGGCTAACTGGCCTGTTATTACTATGCTCTGTGCTAGTAGTAGCTAGGCTATGTATACCCTGTTTGTACTTGAGCCTCGAGTCTTTGGTTTGGTGGTAACCAGTTTTCGGCTTGAATCCTTGCCCTCCGTTCGCGGTCTTGAAGGAGCGGCATACAGATCGCCAGTGGTTACTTTTTCCACATGCTTTGCATTTAGTTCCGAAAGCAGGGCACATCAGTCTCTGAGATCGGTCGTGGAAGGTGCCGCAGCTTCCACAAACACTCTTCTGTGTGCTCTTATACTTGTGCGATGGGGCTTGACGTGGACGGTCTACGTGCTTCATTGCATCTACTCTAGTCTCTGTGCCTCTAATGTCGTGCAACTGGTTGCTCGTAGCCTCCAGCGTTCTGGCAATATCGATGGCTCTATCAAGCGTTAGTGAGTCATCATATTCCAGCAACTTTGCCTGGACACGGGGATTGTTGCAGCCAAAAATTAGAGTGTCTGTAATGTGTTCGTTAGCATTACTGAACTTGCATTCGTTGACTAGAGTGCGTATTTTCTTCAGGAAGAGATCTACAGACTCACCAGGTTCCTGTCTCAATGTGCGTAATTTGTATCTAGCCAACCGAAAGTTGCTCTTGGGTGCGACGAACTCCTCGAATTTTCGCCAATAAGTACTGAGCTCATTCTTCTCATCATTGGTTAAATTCCACGTGGAAACGAGCTCAATACCCTCGTCGCCTGTCCATATCTGCAGGTAGCTGACTTTCTCTGTCTCACTTTTACTCTTGAGTGGTCCCTCGAAGTAAAGCTCACACATTTTCCTGAATCTCTTGAATGCTTGAGGCGAAGACCAGTCCATTCTAGGAAACGGTATTCCCGCCAATTCCGCCATTGCAGTGTAGAGAATGAGCACGTTGATATCTCAGCTAAGTTGTCACGTTCGTGATAATATTAACACTGTCCTAGTGATATAATTATCAGCTATGCAACTAGTACACTGAGTACATACTACTGACGAGTTGTTCTGGACGGACTTGCGGCCCTGGTTTTTGCGAGAAAGAGAGAAAGAGAGTGGGAGAACGCCAGATAAGGTACGAAAATACGGCAGGTGACGGTACGACGGCGAGGATGTACAAACGCGTGTCAATCAGCTAGTGAAAGGATATGTCTCTGGGGATATTATAGCTGAGGGACCGCTAGTGCTGGAGCCGACTGCTACGTTCCAGGCAAGTGTAGACACCAGCGGTGTGCAGCTTGCGCGGGTAGTTGTGCAGGGAGCCGGTTCCAGCCTCCCGCTCCAGTTCCTAACCATGGGAAATAGCACTACTGTGTTGGAGAAGGGGCAGTTAGTAGCCCAGTTGGAACCAGTACGGCAAGTAATGGAATGTTCAGTACCCTCTAGTAGGGCTAGTGGAAAGGGAAATGTGAATAAGATGGAACCCAACAAGTTACCTGACCACCTACGTCTGTTGGTGGATGGTGCTGATATAGGGCTTGGGTACCCACAGAGATCTTGTTTGGCCGGACTCCTACATGAATACCAGGATGTATTTGTGGGCCCGGATGGTGAGCTTGGCCGTACTGGGCTGATAAAGCACCATATTGACACCGGTCATGAGGCACCCAGGAAACAACCTCCTCGTAGGTTCCCCATGCACCGGAAAGCGGCTGCAGAGGAGGAAATCGAGAGAATGCAGCGGGCAGGTGTCGTTGAACCAAGCTCCAGTCCTTGGGCATCACCTGTTGTACTGGTGACTAAGAAGGATGGGAGTATTAGGTTTTGTGTGGACTATAGGAAACTGAACGAGGTGACGCGGAAAGATGCGTACCCGTTGCCAAGAATAGATGAAATGTTTGACGCTTTATCCGGTGCCCAATGGTTCTGTACTTTGGACTTGGCATCTGGATATTGGCAGGTTGAAATGGATGAAGAATCCAAGGCTAAGACTGCGTTTGCCACTAAGCAGGGATTATTTCAATTTAATCTTATGCCATTTGGGCTCTGCAATGCTCCTGCTACCTTTGAAAGGCTGATGGAGTTGATTTTGAGAGGTCTCCAGTGGCAGCAATGTTTGGTCTATCTGGACGACATTGTTGTATTTGGAGAGACTTTTCGGCAGACGCTGGATAACATGAGAATGGTATTGGACAGGTTCCGTACGGCTAACCTGAAATTGAAACCAACTAAGTGTATGTTGTTCCAGTCCAGTGCCCAGTTCCTTGGTCATATCGTATCAGCTGATGGGGTTTGTTGTGATCCAGAGAAGATTCGAGTCGTTAAGGAGTGGTCTACTCCACAGACATTGACAGAAGTTAGGAGTTTCATGGGGTTCGCGTCGTATTATAGACGATTCATACCGGGATTTGCCACGGTCGCTGCTCCACTGTCGGCACTTACTCGGAAAGGAGTAGTATTTAGTTGGGATAATTCTTGCGAGGAAGCATTCCAAGAACTAAAGAGGTTGTGCACAATGGCTCCAGTGTTGGCATATCCAACTGAGGAGGATGAATTCCTCTTGGATACGGATGCAAGTAATTTTGGAGTAGGCGCTGTCTTGTCCCAGGTCCAGGATGGCACAGAACGTGTCATTGCTTATGCGAGCAAGTCTCTCAATAAGTCTCAGCGTCGGTATTGCACTACTAAGAAAGTTACTAACTGTTAGCGGTAGTCACGTTTGTGAAACAGTATCGCCATTATCTCTGGGGTCGGCATTTTAGGGTACGAACTGATCATTCGTCTTTAACTTGGCTGGTAAATTTCAAAGAGCCAGAAGGTATGTTGGCAAGGTGGCTTTCAGTTCTGGATACGTATGATTTCAGCATAGAACATAGGCCGGGAAAGCAGCATGGTAATGCAGATGGTTTGTCAAGAATGTGTGTGGCTAAGTGTCCCCGTTCTGATTGCGATGATGTGCGCCATCATGCGCTGAGTGGCAACTCTGTTGAGGCCATGGAGGCTGCTGAACCGGAAAAGGTTCTACTGGTAGAGTTCCAGACCGAGGGAGATGTGTCTAGAATAACAGTATCCCTACACTGTCAATCTGCAGTGGAGTGGCGAGTACAGTTAAGGGCTAACGGGCCTGTTGATTTACTAATGCTCTGTGTAGTAGTGCCTAGGCTATATATACCCTGGTTTGTACTTGAGCCTTGGTCTTTTGTTTTGTGGTAACCAGTTTTCGGCTTGAATTCCTTGCCCTCCGTTCCGCGGTCTGAAGGAACGGCATACAGTCAGCCAGTGGTTATCTTTTTACAATTTGCTTTGCAGTTTAGTTCCGAAAGCAGGGCCAACATCAGCTGTCTGAGAGCGGTCGTGCAAGTGCCGCAGCTTCCAAATACACTATTCTGTGCTCTTATACTTGTTGCATGGGGGCTCTGCGCGGGACGGTCCATGTAGCTTCATTTGCAATCTCATCTAGGTCTCTGTGCGTCTAACATGTCGGTGAACTGGTTTGCCTCTGTGGCCTGCCAGCGTTGCTGGCAATCATCGATGGCTCTATCAAGGTGTAGGTGTGTGCGATGCGGTATTGGCCGGAGCAGAGACGTGGTTTGCCGGTGTAGACGGACGGGGGGATTGTGTGCAGGCTAGAGAAAGAGGTTGAGAGTGTCGTGGTAATGTGTTCATTAGCATTACTGAATTTTGCATTTCGTTGACTAGAGTGCGTATTGTCTTCAGGAAGAGAGTCTACAGACTCACCAGGTCCTGTCTCAATGTTGCGTTAATTTGTATCTAGCCAACACGAAAGTTGCTCTTGGGTTGCGGACGAACCCTCGAATTTGTCGTCAATAAAGTACAGGGCTGATTCTTTTCACCTTATTGGTAATTCTACGTGGAAACGAAAGCTCAATACCCTCGTCGCCTGTCGCATATCTGCACGGGTAGCTGAGTTTCTCGATGTCTCGCTTTTTGCTCCTTGAGTGGTCCCTCGAAGTTAAAGCTCAACATTTTCCTAAAATTTCATTGATATTGCGTCTTGGCGGGGCGGAAGGAGGAGGCGCGGTGGCGCGGGAGTGTGCGTGGAGGAAAAAACGTGTTCCCGCCAAGTTCGGCCGCGCATTACAGTAGAAGAAATGCAGCATCGCGTTGATATCTCAGGCTGACCTGGCAAGTTTGTTACGTTCGTTGATGAATTATTAAACAACTGTACTAGTGATATAATTACAACTATGCAACTGGATACACTGGAGTTAAATACTACGACGAGGTTGTTACTGGACGGACTTTGCGGCCCTGGTTTTTAGCGGAAGAAAGAGAGAAAGAGAGTGGGAGACGCGCCAGATAAGGTACCGGGGAAATATACAGGCAGGGGTTACGGTATACGACGGCGGAGGGCGATGTACCAAAATACCGGTTGTCAATCTATTAAGTCGAAAGCCCCCCTCCCAAAGGCCCCAGACGCTGTAGCGAGCGATGTAAGCGGCGGGCCGCGGCGGGCGTGTTCCCG